TAATAAGGTGGGGAGGATATAGCTCAAGTAGTAGAGTGCATGCTTAGCATACACAATGTCCTGGGTTCAATCCCCAGCACCTCCTCTAAAAATAAAACAAATAAGTAAACCTAATTACCCCCTCCCAAACAAAACAAAACAAAAAAGTTAAATAATTTTTTTTAAAAGGATGTATTGTACAACATGGGCAATAGGCCAGTATTAAAAAGAAGTAAATATAATACAAAACTGAATATACTATAATTAGATTTACATAAAATAAAATAAAGGGAATGCATTAAAAATGTTATATTTTGTATGTGGGTAATGATTTCCATGCAGTTTTCTCTGATTTCCAAACTATTCCTGTTACGCTTCTCTAATAAATTTTAAAGAAACACTTTAAAAAAAAGTTACTCAATAAAAAATGTTTAAAAAAAACACATTGTAAAATTATTATAAATCAATAAAAAATGTTAAAAAATAGTCACTCAAATCATATATTCCTTCCCTTTTAAAGTACTCCCCCAATTGCTATAAAATTTTTTAAACTGTAACTCAAATCAAAATTTCTTTGGTCTCAATAGGGTACTCTAAATCTTTTATTCCTTTATCCTAGGACTCCTCATAGTGTTATTTTCTAAAACGTGTTCCAAAGAATGTGAAGATACTGGGACTGAACTGAGGAAAGGTTCCAAGGTCAAGTAAGTTTGAGAAATACTGCCTATTGTGGAGGGAGGGTATAACTCAAATGGTAGAGTGGTTGCTTAGCATGCATGAGGTCCTGGGTTCAATCCTCAGTGCCTCCTCTAAGAATAAATAAATAAATAAACCTACTTACCTCCCCCCAAAATAAAAGTTAAAAAAAAATACTGCCTATTGTATTCCACACATAACATCCCAGAGAGTCTCAATGCTATTAGCATAACCTTAAAACTACCAGAAATGATTCGGTAAAGAATCTCATTTTGTTTTCCAATCTACCTGAACAAGAAGCTTTTCTTTTTCCTGTCACATCTGTTAATGTCCAGTGGGATAAGTGTTCCATAGAACATAGTGGGGGCAACCTGCTGTATACATGCTAGAATTCAAGAGAAAGATGATGACACTCTTTAAAGCTCTGATTGATGTTTCTTAAGGATTGTTAGACTGTCATTAGAAATAATAGATCCTTTACGGAAATGGAGTTTCAGATTGGAATTAAACTTCTGAGGATCCAAATTTTTGTACAAAAATGTGTTTTGCAAGAAAAATAAAGGGAACCCTATATTCTACTCCTGACTTCAAATAAACTCCTAAGAGAGTTAGGAACCCTCTTGGCCTTTATTTCTTTATCTGTAAAATAAGGGACTTAATACCAGATGACGTCTTAAGGGTACCTTCTAGTTCTGAAATGTATTTTTTTTAAAGAACTTATCTTACATGTTATTCTTTCATAAACATATATGCATAGGAGAAAGACAAATGATAAGCGTAAAGGAGTAATGCGATTTCAGATCATCTTTTTTAAATTGTGCTTTCCCAGACTTTTCCTAATCCTCTGCAAGTGCATCTACCATTTTTGGATTTAGAAAAATATAAATGTTATTAATTACAACATGACGTAGTTCTAAACCTAGAAGCATCATGGTTCTGTCCTACATGCAGAGGAAACTCATCTTGGGAGCCCTTAAAAATACTGATGTCTGGGCTACACCTCCAGAGATTCTGATTCATTGGCTTAGGGTGGAGCAGGGCATCAGTATTTCTTTTATGGCTCTCCGGGTGATTCTACTTTGCAGCAAGGACAACCACTGACCTAGAGTGTTTTGTTGCTCTAAAGTAACAAGGTTTGAATCTACACTAAGTAAATTTAAATAATCTTTAGTTTTTGAGAGCCTCCTCTTATGCCTCCCACTGGAATAAACTTGAATTAGAAAATAATGGGAATACTGAAATTGTAGAAATAAAATTTAAATTTCCCTTTGTGCCTTTGAGCAAATGTAATTTTAATTAAAGAAGCTGTGAGGAGGAAAACCATGCTTCCACATGTCTTACAAATTGCTTTGTTTGACTTATAATTTGTGCCATTTTCATGGTTTTGGTATTTGTTTTTGTATCTCACCCCCCACCTCTTTAGGGGTTTAAGAAGCTATTTCTAATACTTCACACCATTCTCTTCAGAGCATTTGCATTTGGATTGAAACTTAAACAAAGAAATTTGGTAGTCACACAACCAG